TTTTATTGTTATTTGGAACTTACTATTTTGGGCTTTTTGACTAGGGTCTCCTAGGTGCTTCACCAACATGCCCTGTTCTTTTCTGTGTGTGTTTGTGGTGGGGTCGTGCACATGCCACGCATGCATGTGGGCAGAGAAGAGCTTCTGGAACCAGTTCTCTCCCACCATCATGTGGGATCTGGGGAGACACTCATGTCATCAGTTGGCAGCAGGTGCCTCAACCTTCTGAGCCATCCCATCAGTACATTTCCTGCTAAGTATGTCAGCTTTTACATCATTGAATAGAGTTCAATATTTATTTTCACTTAGACAGTTAACATAGTTGAAATTTTGGGTCTTTCACATATTTGTCAAATCCACCTTTTACCATTTTTGCTTTGAGATCAAGTTTACATCCTTGGGATGCCTGGAATTCACTCTGTAGATCAGGCTAGCCTTGAACTTGAAAAGATCCCTCTGCCCCTGCCTCCTGAATGCTGGAATTATAGGTATTCTTCACTGTGTCTTACCCACCAAAATGTTTTTGAGGTTCATTGTATTCTCACATACAATAAATAGTCCACATGGAAGCTGGAGAGATGGCTCAGCATTTAAGAGCACTGGCTGTTCTTCCAGAGTACCCGAATTCAATTCCCAGCACCCACATGGCAGCTAACAATTGTCTGTAACTCCAGTTTCAGAGGGTCTGACACCCTCACACCAATGCACATAAAATTAATTTAAAAAATAGTCCATATGTACCAGACTGGGTCTAAAATTCACTTGTTGCCAAGGATGACCTTGAACTCCTTGACCCTCCTGCCTCTACCTTCTTGCTAGGTAGTAAATGCCAGAGCAGCTTAGATTAGATATTAAGACCCTGTCTCAAACAAACAAACTAACAAAACAGACTGAGAATATAGCTTTTGGAGCCTGTCCTGGAATTAGACCAGGCTGGCCTCAAACTCACAGAGATCTGCCCGTCTCTGCCTCCCCAGTGCTGGGATTAAAGGCGTGCACCACCACCGCCTGGCTGTTTGGGTTTTTTTTGAGGCAGGGTTTCTCTGTGTTACTGTTACCATCCTGGCTGTCCTGGAACTGGTTCTGTAGACCAGGCTGGCCTTGAGCCCAGAAATGCCTTCTTCTGCCTCCCAAATGCTGGGTCTAAGGCGTGCCCCACTGCTATCTTGATACAGCTTTCAAGTATCTTGATACTTGCTTAGTATGCAAAAAAGCCCTAGATTCAATTCCCAATACCACATAAAAATATATGGTGGCACATACTTGTAACCTCATTTGGGAGGTAGAATCGGGTTTAGAAGTTCAAGGGGATTCTTTGCTACATAGTTGAGGCCAGCATGGGTTTCAAGAGATCCTGTCTCAAAATAAAACAAGTGGAATGGTGCACACCTTTAATCCAAGCAGTACAGAGGCAGAGAGGCTAGAGGATCTCTGAGTGGAGGCCAGCCTGGTCTGCTTAGAGAGGCTCCCTCTCAAAACAAACAAAAAACAACAAAAACAAACAAAACCCCAACAGCCAAAAAGACAATTGTTTTTGTTTTTGTTTTTCTCTAGATAAATCTAGAATTTGTGGAATTTGTCTTGGAGTCGTAGAGGGTTGCAGAGATAAAGAGAAATCCTATATATCCCACTCTTTTCCTGTGTTAACAAATTAAATTGCACAGAACTTTTATTAAATTAAGAACCCACTCTGGGACATTACTCCTAACTGAATGGGAGTCATGTCTTCTTCGTCCAGGACCAACCTAGAGGACCATGTTATACTTGGTTGGGTCTCCCCAGTGTCCTCTGCTCTGCACCTCATCTTTATTTTTCAGGTCCCCTAAGGTTGGTTTGTTATCAGACTGAGACTTGTTCTCTTTGTTTTTAAAGAACCCCCGGGGATGGAGAGATGGTTCAGCAGTTAAGTACACTTGCTGTTCTGGCAGATAATCCCAGTTTAACTCCCCCTATCCCACTTGGTTACTCACAACCATCCACAACCCCAACAGACACACACGTGGCGCACATATGTTTATGCAGGAAACATACAGACACACACGTGGTGCACATATGTGTATGCAGGAAACATACAGACATACACGTGGTGCACATATGTGTATGCAGGAAAACTGTAGAGTAAAATAAATAAACCTAAAGGAAAGAATCCGCAGGCCAAGCTCCCTTCTGTCAGAATGTCACCCGTGTGATTTCAAGCTGATGCTAACTCTATGCACTTGATTTGCCATGTTTGGTTTTGGGGTTTGTTTTGAAATAGTCTCACTCTAGCCCAGGCTACCCTGGAACTTGAAGAAATCATCCAGGTATAATGCCTTTATTCCAGCCCTCAGAGGCAGGGTATCTCTAAATTTGAGGCCAGCCTAGAATCCATCGAGAATTCCAGGACAGGCAGGGCTACATAGAGAGACCCTTTTTTCAAAAAATCTAAAACAAAACAAAAAATTTGTAGTAATCCTCCAGTCTCCCCTTCTAAGTGCTGGGATTACAAGTATGTGCCACCGTGCTGGGCCTGAATTTTAATTTTTAGTCGAAGTAATACAGGAATGTGGTGCACAGAATTAAGGCTGCTCATATGGTAGGAGGTGCTTCTCTGTAATCTCAGCACTAGAGAGGTGGGAGCTGGAGGATTGAGTTCAAGGTCGTCCTCTGCCGCACAGCAAGTTTGAGGCTACTCTGGGCTTTTCAGATCCTGTTTCCAAAGGAAACAAACAATAAAAAAACAAAAACAAAAACAGCTGCTCTTAAGGCCCTACAGTTATTTCTTTAGGTCAGGTCCTTTTGAATAATGTGTTTAATATTTGTATATTCCCATATCACATTAGATTGGATCCTATAAAATTGCCAATATTATTATTATTGGCTTTTTGTTGTTGTTGTTGTTTGCTTGTTTTTCGAGACAGGTTTTCTCTGTAGTTTTGGAACCTGTCCTGGAACTAGCTCTTACAGACCAGGCTGGCCTCAAACTCTGCCTCCGGAGTGCTGGGATTAAAGGCGTGTGCCACCACTGCCCAGCTTATCGGCTTTTTGAGATGGGTTTCTCTAAGTAGCCCTGGTGGATTCCCGTAGACCCAGGCTGGCCTTGAACTCAAAAGACCCCACTGCCTCGTGAGCACTGGGATTGAACCATCATCCAGCTATTGCCAACATTAATTTGCAAGACAAACAAAAACTGTTATTCCCAGATGTGTCTCAACCTAATAACCTAGTTTGATTTGCCTTCCTTTGACCTAGCCAGCTCATCACCATGGGACAAATTGTGAATTCTGAATTTCACGATTTCACCTACCCTGCCACAGGAACTGGGTTTCCCTTTCCCAGACAGAACATCTTGGGGTCTGGGTGAGAAAGCCCCAGGGCTCAAGGTCAGTGATTGCTGCCTTCACCAGGCTGGCCAAAGACTGCCTGGTTGCTTGCTAATATGTTACAGAACCCTGTGTCCTTTTGTGGCCGGGGCCCACAGCACATCACCCTCCAGGTATGGCCTTGGTCCAACAAACTGAATGCCTTGAGCCTCAATTTGTTTCTTTTTTGTTTTTGTAGTTTTTCGAGTCAGGGCTTCTCTGTGTAGCTTTGGAGTCTGTCCTGGAACTAGCTCTGTAGTCCAGGCCTGTTTTGGCTTCCTGAGTGCCGGAATTAAAGGCATGCGCCACCACCGCCCAGATGAGCCTCAATTTCTCTACTAGTAAAATAGACCATTAACCTCCCAGTGAGATAATGTCCATCCAGAGACTATCAGTGCTTTTGGCCACCAGGGTCTTTGTAGCAGCTCTTCTGCCTTCAGAAAAGTCTATTAGCTGCAGGACAGGGCTCTGGAGACTTACCTCAACCTCTGATCTGCCCCAAGACTCTTACTCAATGTTTGCCACATTCAAGGCCTGTCTCCCCATGTGAACTAAGAGGTGGTTGCTGCTGGTACTGCAAAAGCTTTTGAGAACTGTGGTGTCTCCGGTAGTGCCTGCCTTCTTTGGTGAGGTGGGGCACTCCCATGTCAGCTCGTTAGTTCAGTCTTGGCATGTTGGACTGAATAGGGTTGCAGACTTTGGGTTAAGAGTGCAAGTGAGACAAATCCTGTTCCTCTCTGAGGCTTTATTTAGGGGAGAATGAACTGAGATTCCCGGCCCCTTTTGATTTTGTGGTCAGACTGAGTTGTGGCAGATAAATGTCACAGCAGCAAAGGCTGCAGGGTTCATCCTTAGCAGAAGCAGTATTACCACAAAGTGTCACACAGTAGTGTGAAGTTGCAGTCTGAATGAGTTTATGTCAGCAGAGAGGTTAAGCGGTTAGGACCTAGGCCAGGGGTAAGAGCCTACAACAGAGTTGAAGAGTGGACAGGTATTTAGATGATAATGCAGAGGAAACCGCAAAGACCCTTGGTTAGAAAGGCAGTGCAGGAAGTGATGTAACGCGCAGCAGGGACCAGGTGCAAGGACCCAAAGCTCAAGGAGTCTGAAGCACAAGAAGCCTTTGGGAGAACTCAAATCAAGTAGTAACATGATCAGATTTGTGGTCTAAGCTCCCTCTGGTACAGGACAGGGTTTAAGAGCAGGGAACCCTGGGAAGTGGTTTTGTTACTGTTTAGGTGACAACAGTGACTTTGTTGGGGATTGTTACAGGGATGGGTGGAATTGTATGTTTTCAAGGTAGAATTGTGGGCTGTGTGTATGGGAGAAATGAGGCAGTTCTGTGTCCTGAGCCCCTGGAGGCTGGATGGGGAGTGCCTGTGGGAAAAGACAAAGTATATGCACTGTTTCCTAGAACACTGGTCTGGATTCCCAAGGATGGAAGTGTAAACAAGGGAGCAGAAGGTAAAGTGCAGGCAGCTGCCAGGTGGTCAGTAAGCTCTTTCAGAACTAGGTACGTGCCAGGAGGGAAAGAGATCCCCGGGTAGGCTCACAGATTGGGCTTTGATGGGAGGTGCCAGGCAGGAACTGTCTCAGCCCACAGGGGCCTTACTTAGTAAAGTGTGCCCCAGGACATCTCATTCTCTCTTCCCCTGCCAGATCCTGCTCATCTCCGACTACTTCTACGCCTTCCTGCGACGGGAGTATTACCTCACACATGGTCTCTATTTGACTGCCAAGGACGGCACGGAGGCCATGCTTGTGCTCAAGTAGCCCTGGCCGGCACAGGGCTGCATGGACAAGAGGGGGAGGGCCAGAAGCCAGGCCATCCTTCATCCAGAGTTGCCAGCAGGCAAGTCCTGAGGCAGAAGAGGTTCAAATCCAGGGTTGCACATCCCTGGCACCAAAGGGGACTCATAGCTGGCCACAAGCCCCATGGGGAGAAGCTAGGAGCACCCCAGTTGGACTCTGCACAGGAAGGAAGGGGGAAGCAGCAGGTGAGCAGGGCTTTATAGGTTGTGGCTAAACTTAATAAATGTGTGGGTTTTTCAGTGGTGTTGTTCTGATGACATCTATTCCTAGAGTGGGGTGAGTTTGGCCCCTAATACTGTATGACATCCTGTACTAAGCAGTAGGTTTCTGGGAACCCACAAACCCTGACTGACACAAGTGTGTGGCCACAGTCACCTAGCAGCCCTCCCTACTCCCAAACAAGCAGCTGGAGGCAAAGGGCCAGGCAGGCCTGAGCAATCTTTATTCTGCTGAGGAAATGATCACAGATCCATACACCATGTCAGGACAAGGGGAGCCAGCCTTTCAGGGGTGGGCAAGTTCTGGCAGGAGGCAAAAGCCTCAGGTGGATGAGGGACAGGTGGGCAGACAGGCAAGGGGCTTAAAAAAAAAAAGAAAACCACAGAGCAGGGGTGCTGCTCCCCACTCCCAACCCAGCCAGCACCCTAATATGACTGGCCCAGGGTATGGTAGGCTGGCTGGTGTCCCCTACCTGGAGTGGGGGGGGGTCGCATCTCTGCCTAACCCACTAGGGACTTTTTCAGTTTAGGAGCCAGGACCTCCTTGGAGAGAGCCTGACCAGAATTCCCAACCACCCCCCACCCTTACTCCTGACTCAGAAGCCAAAGGTTTCTTGGGAGGCATAGACCATGTAGAGGAATCCGTCTTCATCCTTCTCCTGTTCATAGATGTCCGCGATGGGCGTGGACACGCTCACCATGCTGTGCTGGTTCACCAGCAGGAAGAAGGCCTGCGTGGGGTTGAGCTGCAGGCGGCGCCTGCGGAGGCAGGAGGCATGCCAGGTGAGGAGGCCGCCTGCTGAGGGCCTGGGTGACCCACCCAAAATGGTTCTGAATCTTCACTTTTCGTCCACCACAGCCCGGGCTCTAGCCCTCACCTCTTTAGAAGTTCACTCCAACCCGACCTTGACCTTTCCCAGCCTCCTAGAAGGGGCCGGGTGCCCTATCTCCCGTCCCCTCGCCCCACTCCACCCCTTCCTAGTGGAACCTGGCCCCTACCCCACCCAAGGCCTTCGGGAGGCTGCCCACGCACCGGATGATCTTGACCAACTCGCTCATGTTAACATGGTCTGGGACCAGAAACTTGGTTTTATCCAGGACAGGCAGCTGTTTCTCACCCTTGTAGCGTTCGATGATCACCTGGAGCATAGTGGGCGGGGGACTCGTAAGGCAGGGGCGGGACCTAGTAGGGCAGGGCGTGGCCAGCGGGGGCTACAGACTCACCGGGATCTTGCTGGGGTGCTGGTCGCGGATCTGCTGCACCTCCTTACAGCGGTCGGCTGTGGACAGCACTCAAGAGTTAGGCCCCGCAGGGCTGAGGCCTCCCGCGACTCCGCCTCGCCGTCCCGAGGGGCGGCTCCGGGCCCGCCCCGCCCCAGCGCCCGCCCCCGGGGCCGTCGGCCCCACAGCCCTCAACCGGGGACGCGGTAGGGAGGCGGGCGACCCTGCCAGGCCTAGCGGCCTCCCCACCCGGGGTCCAGCCGGCCGGTGCCTGACGTCATGGGGCTGACGTCACCCGCGGCAATCGGGGCCGGCTGGCACCCCCATCCCTCGGTCCCTGCTCGCAGTTCGCCCCCAGGGCCTCACCGAAGCTGCGCCGCTGCTTGAAAGGCCGGTCGGAGGGCATGGCGCGGGCCCGGCGGGGCGCGCAGCCGGAGCTCCGGGGCGCGCGGCTCAGGGATGTGGCTGCGGTTCGGTGCGCCGGGGGCTCCGGGGCTCGAGCTCAAGGGCTGCAGGGCTCGCGCTGAGCCTGGTGGTGGCGGCTGCGGGAGGTAACTCGCCTGGGTGACGTCAGGTCACAACATTCCTTAAAGGGGAGGCCGGCGCGCAGCTCCCATTGGGCCGACGGAAAACACGCCTGCCCGGACCTGTGACGCCACGGCGCAGGCTGCCCGGATTCCCGGCGCAGGTCGCGAGGGGGCGGAGCTCCGGGCGCGTCACAGCGTTGTGACGTCACGGTTGGCGGGCTTGTCTCTCGGTCCCCCAGACTGAAGTTTTCACCTTCATTTCGTCGCCTCCAGTTCTTGGACACCGTGCCTTCACCGAACTTAGCATTAGAGGTCAAAGATGGTAACAGAGGTGAGGCGAGAGGGGGAGTGGAACACCCAGGCTTTTTAAAGTTGTTATGTGCCTGTGTAAGTGTACGACGCGCGTGCGAGTGCCCGCGGAGGTCAGACGACAAAGTTGGATTTCTTGAGGCTGGAGGTAATACTGGCGGTGATGGGAACCGAATTGAGGTCCTTTGTAATAATTGCCAGAGCTGTTAACTGCCGAGGCATCGCTCCAGTCCTGTCCCGGACCCCTGTATCCGTCCGTCACTCCTCCGTCCCGCCGGCTTTCAAAAAATCCTGAAACAGCCAGAGGAAGCATAGTCTTCACAATGCGAGGTTGGTAGGCGAATTAGATAAAGCAGGAGAATAAAGTCACTGAATGGAGTGTGTATCCGAAGACGCTAACCAGACGATAGAGAACACACAGAACTGACAACATACAAAGTGAGCATTCACAGGGAGAGGAGTCCCTTGGGAGTGGAAAGAAGAATGATCTAGGAATGTTACTCAAGGTAGAGTACTTTCCTAGCCTGTGTAAGGCTTAAATTCAACTACCCGGGTTTTGCGCAAGGTGGGGAGCACGGACATGGAGAGGCAGTTTTAAAATTGATTAATGCCAGATGTAGCTCATACTTATAATCATAGCTCTGTGGGAGTTTGAGACAGAAAGATGGGCTAGAGTTGAGGTAAGGAAGAAAAAAGGATAAATTTACAAAAGGCCATTGTTTTGGGAAAAAAGGATGTATTTCAGGAACAGTGTATAATTACATGGGAGAAGACGTTAGATGAAAACTGGTAAATTGATAGATATATAAGTAAACTAAGCAGGTAGTTAATATAGAGAAAAATAGTACTGTTGTGAGGTACAAAACAAGTTGCTGGGGGCTGGAGAGATGGCTCAGATGTTAGGAGCACTGGCTGCTCGTCCAGAGGTCCTGAGTTCAATTCCCAGCAACCACATGGTGGCTCACAACTATCTGTAATGAGATCTGGCGCCCTCTCCTTGACTGTAGGCATACAAGCAGACAGAGTACTGTATACGTAATAAATCTTAAAAAAAAAATAAAACCAAGTTGCTTGGGTCACAAGAATATTCCTAGAACAGAAGAGAGCAGTGGCGCTAAGACTGCTTTAGGGAGGCTGCCCTAGTCCTAGCACTCTATAGGCAGAGGTGGGTTGATCTCTGAGTTCAGTGCTGGCTTGGTCTAGATAAGGAGACTCTGGGTTTTTTGTTTGTTTTGTTTTTTAAATGTCCTAGGACGCTGGATTTGCGTAGAAGTAGAAGTATATTATTGCCTGCTTGGCCAGGTATATATTTCAAAAACTAAAAGGGGAGGCACCTAGCTGGCACTGTGGATAAGAGTGCTTGCCCTCCAGCATGAGGGCCGGAGTTCAATTTCCAGGATCTGTTAGAGCAAAGAGGCTGCCCTTGCCGAGGAAATTAGCCAGGCCTTATTTCCCTAAAATGCTAAGCTCCTAGCTACAGGTTAGGGAGGATTGGTTTCCTAGTTGTGGCCTTAAATCCTATTTATAATCCTATTTATTTAGTGCCTTCACTATGCTAATCTGAGACATTCCCCCTAGAGAAGAGTTCGCTTTCGTTCTGGGGTTGCTGCTGGCTCTCTGTGGCATTCCAACTTCCCTGTGGCCAGCAGACTGAAGTCTGTCTCAGGGCATCTCTCTGCTGAACCTGCAAAGAGTTTTTAATGATAGGAGAACACCTACAAGCTGTCCTCTGATCTCCGCATACATACCGTAAAAAGAGAAATGTAAAAATAACACTTAAAACAGGAGGGATCATTAAGAGAATAGAAATGTAAAATATGGTTCAAATACAGAAGGAAGGGGTGGGGGTAGTGAAGGGCACTGAAACATGGAAGCCAGAAGCAGCTTATGAAGGGAAGTGAATAGGACAGTAAATAGCACAAAACCAGAGCTGGAGAAACCTTACATTAGTTACATTCACCCATGAAAACACAAAATGATCTCTTGGTCGAGTGCTTGCCTCGAATGCAGAAAACCCTGGGTTTGATCCCCTCCTTCACATAGGTGGGGTGCGGTGGCACATGTCTATAATCCCATATTATCTGATTGGCCAAGAAAAGTAAGAGGAAGGCTATAGTGTTTACAAGAGGAAAGAATAGGAGCAGAGGTGAATATATGTATGAAAATGTCAAAGACCAGTTTCTTTGTATACTAAGTAAAAAATAATAAAATCAAAATGTGGGCCAGTGAGATGATTGTGGGTACAGGTGCTTTCTGCCAAACCTAACCACCTGAGTTCAATCCCTGAAACCCATGTAGTGAAAGGGGAGAACCAGTTTCTGGTGTGAATACAAACAATTCAAAATAAATGTTTTAAAAATAATCAGGGTACCAAATGTAATGTGGGAAAGGTGCACAGAAAACAAGAAGGTGCTGACAGACAGTCACTAAAGTGTTAGTGGGTCCCTACGAAGCAATGGAATCTTTCTCTAGGAAGAGGTAACACTGAACTCTGTTCTGAGCTTAGGAAAGGCTGAATGTTGAGGTGCTGTCTACCTGTAATCCTAGCATTTGGGAGGTAGAGGCAGGCAGGGAAACCAAAGGTCAAGGTCAGTCTGGACTGTGAGATCCAGTCCCAGAAAAAAAAAAAAAATGCTGTGATCCCAGGACTCTGGAGACTAAAGTCAGAGGGTTACTGTGACTTCAGAGCCAGACACTGTCCCAACACATGAGACTCACTTAAACATCTTGTTAGAGTAGAATAGACTCTGACCGTGAAGCGGGGAGCAGACATCATCAAAGCTCATTGAAGTGACGGGGTTAAAGGTTTTAGATTTTTATTCTCATGGTTGTACTCAAGTCTCTGGCAACTTCTCAGTTCTGCAGCATCCTGAGGGGCAGCCTTAGCCTGAATGGCACAGCATACTACAGTCAAGTTTGAGTCATGACATATTGGCCCAAAGGCCTCAGTTTGCTCTTGGTAGAGAGCTATGTCCCATAAATAGTGTCATGGGAGATTGAGTGTTCTTGCAGCCAGGAAGGGCAGCTGGGAGAAGTGGGTCAGCCTTGGCCCTGTCTGTTGTCAGACTCTTGTCCTAAAGGTGTGCCTTGATCTGCCTGACACACCTGTATGCTGCTTCCCTCTAGGCCTCATACCTTTGGTCCCTGGGCCACCCTATTTCCCCAGAATTCAACACCCTAGCCTCCTCAAGTTCTCTAAGTGAAATGTCCCACTGATGCCTTAAACTTGACCGGTTCCGGTCCAGATCTCCCAAAATGTACTCCAAACCTCAGTCATTCACAACAATTTGCTCCCTACCTTTGAGATATTTGTTTTTTTTTT